TGAAACGTTGGTTAACATCGACCAGACTACACAGCGCAATAACCCAGAAGACGGATATCTTCATACTCACCGCTGTGAGAACCTCAAGTCTTACATACTTTCCCATAATTTGCCTGGAGAGAGACCAAGGATAACCAGTATCCAGGATGAGATTCAAACTCGGGACCTTCCGAACGTGATACAGGAGCATTAATCGCTCAGTCGTGATTTTATCTAAATTTAAAAGGTTTATGAAAGATGTGGTTTGTTATTTATAATACCAAGGGCTCAGTAACGTGTACTAACACCACTACTGCTGCTAACTGTTACTGTCTACTGTCAAAGAATTGGTACTAGGCTATGCGATGTTCAAGAATAATTATTTGGATGCTGAAGCAGATTTAGAAGCAAGCAAATATGGTTTACCATGCATTAAAGTGCATAAAAGAGATATCTGTCTGTCCATGTTCCAACTTTAGAACCTCTAGACGGATTTTTATTAAATTTGATATGGACTTTACGCTATTGAAGGCCACCTCTAACCTCACACTTTATTATAATTTGTGCTCTTTGCTAAATATTATTAGGATGATCACATGGGGCATGTAGCACGCACAGGAGGGATGAGAAATGCGTAAAAATATTTTAGTTTGACAGTCTAAAGGAGGAATTAGCTAGACCTCGGCGTAAATAGAGGATATATTAAGATGGGTATTAGGATGGTCGGATTTGAAGGTGTGGATTGGGATAATTTGTTACAGAGGATAGGGACTGGTGGCGGGCTCTTGTGAACACACAATAAACCTTCCGGTTCCATTAAACACGGAGACTTTATCGACTAACTGAGGGTACTATTCATTAGCTTCTCAACTTTGTTCCATGGTGTTATTTGGGTAATTTTTCCGTAGTAACAAATAAGTATTTTGGAGCTATTAGGTAGTTTATAAATATATTTACACGTTCTATAAACAAATATTTTTTGGTGATAATTTAACATGAAAAACTTGGTAAAGGTGCCAGTCTTTGAAACAATGTTATACAAATTAGGCATTGATAAAAATCTGTACCTAATAAAGTTGTTACCAATAAAATTAACAAGATAATAGTATAAATAGTACTGTGATTCAGGCGCCCTGATCACTACATTACGTTACTATATTATGTTACTGATATGAACCCACTACAGTTACGTATTCTAACTTTATGAGAAACATTGTAATTTATTCCGCAGATTGCGCGCTGCTGCTATCACCACTAACAATTTATGTAGATTAACATAATTTATGTGCTGATACACTCGTATTAATATTAAATCGTCATGTCTGTTATTAAACGTCAAATAGGATTCATAATTTTATCAGACGAGTTTACACACGATATGTACCGTTTTATTAGTATATTGCACTTTGGACACAACAAATTATCAGGTAAAACTGAAATATTTTTTGAATAAATATACGGATTACTTCTTATAGATATGTAGTTATCACTAACTCACAGCGAATGCAATGCAGACAGAGAATATGCATTAACGGTGTAAGGGAGGTGACTGAAGTCCATGTACGCAAAAGCACAGATTTGTTAAATATTTACCGCTTCTGCGTGATCAGACATTCGGCCACCGCGCATGCGTCCTCCGGTCCACACGAAACTGCAATACTTCTATTTGAATGACACGTAATTCGGCTAACAAAATAGACTGTAGCTTTATTAGCGATATCTGTGTGAAAATTGTAGAAATCAGCAAAGAACAAGCCTGTATTTAAATTACTCGTGTGCAATCCAATTCAGCGTCACAAGTTAGTGAATGTGAATGTGGTAATCCAAAGTAAAACGTATTGTCTCGTGATATACGAGTGTTAAGTTCTGTAACTCTGAGAGAAGTTTAAAATTAGAAGAGTTTGTGATAAAATCAAAATCCTGCTTTAATCTTTTGAATAAGATTTTGGTTAAGTGTTGTGTGTTCTTTGTTGTAAGGAATGAATTCTTAAACATTATTTAGACTAGATTCTACTTCTGATCGCCTACACTGAAATTTAGGAGGCAACAATGACCACCGCGTACATCTGCAAACTGACAATGAATACGATTTTTGTAATTGAATGAGCAAGGAACAAAACTGTATTTTTTATAAAGCAACGCACGTTGTCCGCGGTTTTCCTCGGTCCAACAGCAAAATGCTGAGTTGGTATCCAAATTCCACGTTGCCCTACATGCATCCCTCTCCATGTTACATCAAAATTCCCCCCCCCCCCACATTAACATAAAAACTTTCACTAAAAGCTAATATCAAAATTTGAAACTGTTCACGAACGCGGCGACCCTGCTTGGCTTATGCCCTTGCTCCACTCTTCAATAAATTCGTAACAGAAGAACAAATATTTTTACAACAATAGATAGTGTAGCAGTAACAATAGGTTTCCCGTTTTATTATCACCAGAGAAACCTAACGCATTCCTTGGTTTTTAATATGATTGTCGTCAGATCTTCTAAGCTGATACAAAGTTGAAAGTGAGGTCCACTTCAGGCCAATTCAGTCCATGTCATGGGAAAAGAAGTTTTGTGAACTACTTTGCGACTTATTATTTTCGTTAGAAGGATTATCGGTGGACGTTATTGAAGCAATTGTGTTGTGGGGCTTGGGGGGGGGGGGGGGGGG